CGCTCCACGCCGGCTGCCTTCATGGCGCTGTCCAACAGGGCCTTGGTGAACACGTGCACGCACCACGGGGCCCCCCTCAACGGGTAGCGGTGGTACGTGACATTCGCGTGCATGCCAACAATGTTCTTCTCGGCATCGGCAACTCCACAAGCGCGTAGGTAGGCAGCGAGAGATTTTTGGGGCGCGCCAGAAAAGCCGACGAATTCCAGGCAGGCGTACCCCCCCTTGTCCAGCAGGCCCTGGATCTGGCTGACGGTGGTGGCGACGGCGGCGGCGGGGCGGCCAGCCCTCCCTTTGAACAGGTACTCGTCGAAAAAGTCCGCATTGCTCGACACGAACTCTGGCAAGGTGAACGAGACGGACTGGGCCAGTCCCTCCGCCTGTGCCAGGCCACCACATGCACCACCATCACCACCGTCCGGCTGGGGAGCCACCCTCGCAATGACATACACGGGACGAAAAGCTCCCTTCCTCGTGGCCTTTTCGTATTCCAGAGACACCCCCCTGTACGACTCATTTTCCAGCACCGCGGCGTTGTCTACCAGCTGCTTTCGGAGGGACGCCGCCTTCGGGTGGTCCCGCTGGAACCCCAGGTCGCCGAAGGCGAAATGAACGGCAGCCATGATGCTGTCGAACGACGCAGCGGACGACGCCCCGCTGGCCTTTGGCGTGTACCTGAGCATTGCTCGGGGTTTGCCGCCGCCCGCACCTCCCTCCTCCGCTCGTCCCTTCTCTCTTCTGGAAGGCTGCTGGATGTCACACATTCCGAGACGCCACAGGTTGTAGTGGATTCCGGTCGACCCGACGGCCAGTGAGAGCCACGAGCGGACGGTGCCGATGTGAACGTGGCCCACGCCGTGGTCGACGAGCATGGCCTGGACCTCGGTGGGGCTCAGGTGCAGACGCCCCTGGAGGGTGGGGGTGTCGAACAAGATACCATACTTCCCACTCGGCACAACCACCTCCCGCTTCCGAGCTCTCCTCGTGATGGACACGCCCTCCTCGTGCAACAGACTCTTCCCGTTCCGGTTGAGGAAATAGGCACGAACGAGCCCGTAGATCCATGCCCTCGTGGGAGTCGTCCCGCGCGGGAGGTATTTTTTCAACCGTGCCACGAGGCCCTCGGTGCGCTCCATCCACGCCACCACCTGCCACAACCCTTGGCACGCGCCGCTGGCGTGCTCTCCGAAGGTAGCCTCGAACAGGTTGGTGCTCGAGACGGACCCAAAGAGGCGGTAGACGTCGAGGAGCTGGTGCCGATGCGCGGCTGGCTGCCTGCTCCCGAACGTCTCGGCGACGCAGCGCCGCCTCCTCTCCTCCGCCTCGTGGGGATTCAACACGGAGTCGTTGAGGCTGCCATATATCCGTGAGGCCTCCATCTGGACCCCAAAAAACGACCCCAGCATCGTTGCCAGTGCTTTCCTCCCGATCACCACACCCTCGCCACACGCCCCGCTGTGGCGGTCCCTGAATGTGTACCCGTACAGCCCCTTCAAGCGGTCCACGTCATCGTCGTCGACATCATCATCGTCGTCGACATCATCATCGTCGTGTTCCTCTTCTGGGCGTTCCGGGAGGCGGACGACCTGGATGCATGGCCTGAGCGCCTGCGGGAGGCCGCCGCGCCCGAACCACCCCAGGACAGTCGAGTCGGCATACTCCTGAAACTCCTTTGGGTACCCCCTCGCCCTCATGGCGGCCTTGATTGGCGCGACCGCCTCCACCAGGCAGTCCGCCCGAACCGAAATAGCTGGCAGGTCCGTCTTGCCTTCGTACGGATGCACCAGCACCTCGATTCGAACACCACACGCAGCAGCCGTGTTTCCCCGGTCGCACAGCAACCGAAGATTCTCGGGGTCGTTGTTCCCCTTGTTCTGATCAATGTGATCGGTCGTCAGACGCCGCACGCGCCCACCGGCGTCCCAGAGCATCTTGACTTGCACCCCTCTGCCGTCGGCCGTCGGCCGGGCCACCTCCCCCAAGCCAGCGCCTCCTCCTCCCTCCACCGCGACTGCCGATCCCGTCCTCACCACCTGATGATACAACCGCGTGAAGGAAATTGCCGTATGAATGTAGCAGCTCGTTCCAGCCACAGTCAGTGTGCGATAGTGCTGCTGTGGTGTGGTTTTAAGAGGCCGATCCAAAAAGAGCCACGAACCGTCGCTTGGTCTCCAGATGCACTTTTTCTCTGCGTATAGGAAAATCGTGGGGTCAACTTCGAGATCCACCCACAAAGGCCCGTCCCTTGCCCCCTGTTTGAATTGACGGTACACCTCGCGAGACACCCCGCCCTCCTCCAGCCTGGCCATGGCAAGCCCCTCGTCTTCCATGCACGCCGACGCCACCTCCTGCCGAACCGTGTCCAGGTCACCGAACGGGATAAACAGGGGATCGTCCGCCACGCTTTCGGATAAGAACGTCTCCCTATTGCGAGGGCGCGTGTTGACTGCCTGCTGGGCCCCGGTGGCCAGTTGCACCAATGCAGGCTGATTATAGGCGTGGCTCCTGGTCAGGTGGTCCACGCTCAGACCCTCCTCCCACAATAGCCATTCGAACTCTTCCATGGGCATGTCGTACTTGGCCATGGCCGTCACATGCCACAACGAGTAACAGCGCGTCTCGGAACCATTCCAGAATCTGACGCCCAAGAAGCCATTAGAATTCACCGGGTGCCGGAAGGCTGCGGTGTCGGTGTTGGTGATGCAGCGACCTTCCGCCGTGACGTACAGCATCCTGGTATCGTTGTATCCCAAAGACACCCTATTGAAGAAGAAATCCTCGGCCAAGACGTGGCGCGTGGCCCCGTGGTTCTCTTTGTCGGCACCCGGCAGCAACACATGGGAGCAAATCATTGCCCCCCAGCCCCGAGCATCCACCGAATACGTGAGCGCACCAAAATGCAGCAACGCACACACCACTTTCTCGACGCTCATGCTGAGCCCTTCGGGGGTGTATTCCAGCATGTCGACGCCGTGCCGTGGAAAGACGGTACCAGCATCGCTGTCCGGAATCGGGTCACACATGTCCTCGGCCCGGGTCACACACGTCCACGCGTGGCGCGCACCATCTGGAATCAGGGCGAGCACGCAATCGGTCAATGTCGACCGGGCGTGGCTGCTGGCATTGCTCCCCGTCGAGCAGTAGATGCTCCAAAACGTCTCGTGCATCTCTTCCAGACCGCCAGCAAACGAGCAGGACAGCAGCGCCAGAAGAGCCACTTCGATGGGCAAACACCTACACAAATCCTCGTCGGACAGCACAACCTCGCCGAGCTTGGCACGACGCCTGGTATACGTAGCGTCCGTTGCAGGCACCCGACGGCCGCAGTAGTCCCACACCATGCACAGCTTGCGCACGTCTTCCAGCGCTGCCGACAGCTGGTCGCCGTCATCACGATAAAAGTACTTTGCAGAGGCCTCTTGCGAGGACAGCACGTCGACGACCGGCACGCGTCGTGCCCCAACACCGCCGGCGTCGGCGTCGGCGTCGGTGGTGAGACCTCTCAAGGTCCCGAGAAAGCCTGCAAGGCCACCAGCGCGTCCCGACGCTCTCAGCCGACGATCGACGAAAGGGCCCAGACCGCCAAACACGTCCTGCGCCTTCTGGCCTTCCTCCCGTTCCCCGCCACCTGCAACACACCACCATAATACTGATATTAGTATCGGTACGAGCGGTACCATCCGACAATCAGTCAACCAAGAAGGCAATCGAACGCACCCGGTCCATGAGGGTCGGCTGATCCAGGTGGTGCCAGAGGGACGGGTGCCATGGTCCCCAGAAGAAGAGACCGTTGACCAGCTGCCACGCCGAGCCCCCCCTCCCCCGTGGTCGCCCGAGCCCGTTTCTGCAACAGCAACCATGATCGTCATTGCAACTATACATAGTACGAGGAATGAAATGCAAGGCCGACGGCGGTGACGACGGCCGGGACGCACCTCGACTCCCAGAACTGTCCCAGTTCGCCTCTTTTTTGAATTCGACAGCAGCGTCTCAGCCCTCATGACGACCCCTGAATGCATGTATGTGATACTTGTAATATCTATATATATATACACGCGTACAGACAGACGAACCCTCGTCGGATGGGGCGACAAACAGTCGCACTGAATAAAAGTTTCGCGCGACACGCACACACACCTGTTCCGTATGATATGATACGCACCGATACCACTCTGCAGAGCTATGACTCTAGTGGTATGTATAATAATAATAAACTCTTGATAACTGCCGCTGACAGCATAGAGGCGCCCAACAAAACAGAGCCACGGAGGTCTGGTTACCGGTTGTTAGTTCATCAGGGCCCATGGCCGAGGCCTCCTCCCAGGAGGTGTCCACTCAATACTACAATGCTCACAGCCCTCATGGCATGAGCAGCCATGAGGGCCTCCACCTGCCCCGCCCCCGGCCCCCTCAGGTTGACGCTCGTCGTGTTGTACATCCTTTCGATAGTGGATCCATTTTTTTAATTTTGGTTTGCTTTGATTTGATTTCTCTTCTTGTTCAACAGGGGTGCCGCAAGACAGCATGGCAAGAGGATGCCTACTACCCTCCACGTCTTTTACGCATCCAGGGACACCTACCTGGATGCGTACCATCATCATGGCCATATATAACTCCATCAAAAAGAAAAAAATGCACCTCGCGCCAAGCCCTTGCGTGTGGCACCACCACACCAAGCAAACTCCGACACGGCCATGCGAGCTCGTTTCTCGAGAAACACCCTTCCTCGGCCACGGTGCACGGACCAATCGTCGTGCTCATATTATTTGATCTGATGATCAAAATGATAATAATAATGATAACAACAATAACAGTAATAATCCCATCCATCCATATACATGGTTTGTAACTGCGCTGCGTGGAGGAGGGTCCTCATTCATGAGGATAGTGAACAAGTTTTCCTTTGGAACACTTGTTTCAAAAGGAAAAAAAAAATAGAGAGAGGAGGAAACTTTCTTAATGTTTTATTTGAGGAAGAAAAGTTCCTTAAAAAAAAAAAACGCCGAACCAGGGAATCGAACCCAGATCTCCTGCGTGACAGGCAGGAATACTAACCATTATACTAATTCGGCTGCTGTGCTTGGTGCTTCGGAATTTATGCCCATATATGTGGTGTTTTAGGGGAATTTTTTTTTTTTTTTTTTTGAGCCGTGTTTTCTGCACGCCAAGGCCCTGGAACAGCGGATCCGACCGCCCCTTGGTGTGCTGAAGAAGCAAGAGAGTGAGAAAATCTGGGCCGACACAAAGTTGCTGCTTGCGTGGGCGGCCTCCTCGTGAGGGAACCCGGCTGCCTGTGCGACTGAGGAAGCTTGGGGTGTCAATGAGAAGCGCCCACGTTGCAAGTGGTTCCTTCCTGGTGGCCCGTGCCTGTCAGGAGACATAGCAGTGGCCGCCAGCTGGGTGTCCAGATACCATTCCAGGCATGTGAGGATTGCACTCACTAAAAACTCACTCCCACACCTCGGGATGGGATCACCCAACCCCTTGGCGTCGACTGGTTGTTCTGGGCCGTCCAGACCAGACCCCGCTGTCTCCGAGCTGTTCTGCCGCCTCGGCGACATGGGAGTGAACAGCCCCGAGCCTGGGGGCGGTGGTCCTTTCAGCAAAGAACTGCCTTACACTAAACGGTGCATTGGCTCTGGGACGGACCGGGGGTGACCCTCTGCGCTGGGTCACCTTATCACGAATGTTCTGAAAGTGCTTGCCGAGCACTCGATGTAAAAATCTGCCTACACGTTGCCACAACGGGATCTGTGGCTGGCTGCTGCTGGCCTCGCCAATCGAGGCTGTGTCTTCTCCATCCTCGTCCTCATCCATCAGCCAAGACATGGCTGAGTCCTCTGGTGCCTGCATTGAGGAACCATCACTGTCTGTGTCCTGCACACTGGGCATCTCATCTGGAGGGCTCGTCCCTCGCACGTGAGTAGATAAATTGTTAGTATGGTCAGTAGAAGACGTAGATCGTAAGTCATACCGGTGGGACTCCCTGGCTGGCTGGGAGGGAGTCCCTTCCACGTGGGGGGCTGTCCCCCTGGCTGGCTGTGGGGACGGCGTGCCCACCCACATTTGCTGAAGATTCTGAAGAATTTCAGCGTCAGTGGTGGAGAGACCTCCAAGGCACGCTGTCCACACAGTGTCACTTCGACGTTGCAGCTGGTGGTCGTCGAAGAACTTGGTGATGGCGTCTATCGCTGGTCTGAGAATGGCTTCTCGCTGTTCCTGAAATGCTGGACACACCATGCCAATGTGGTGGAGGTCATCCCTCGGGGCGCTGTCACACGAGGGGCACACACATTCAAAGCCTGGCAAGAGGCACGTTTCGTGCCATTTGGACAATCTGTAGAGCAGGCCTGGCCACGCGTTCAGTCTGGTCCTAAGAAGCCGATGCATGTCCACAGGGGTGGTCCGATGTGTGCTAATCTTCAGGTATGTCTTCGTGTTCTGCATATTGTTGGCAAAGTAGTGTCCCCCAGCCGCTGCCGTGCTGGTGGACCGGTATTCTCTGCTCAATGCCTCTTTCACTTGCTTAGCCACCGTCTTTGGCTGTAGGTCTTCAACATCTGCAGGCGAGAGTCCCAAGCGTGCCATCTGTTTGCTGAAAATCCTGCTGGAGGGCTGGGTCCAGCTGAGCCGAGAGAAGCTGCGGTCTCTGACGAAATCTGCAATCCAAGTATGGAGGTGACGCCATTTGATCCATGCACGTACCCTTTGGGACGTAGCAATAGCGCTGATATTTGCTATGTCCAGTTCCTCGTGAACGATGTGGGTGCTGATGGCTCGCTTGTTCTTCATTCTGCCGACTGTGGTCAAGCGGAGAGCATTGTTCAGGATGCGCTGTACTGGAGGAATGTTGCACTGCTTGTCTGCCCAGACTTCTGCACCATAGCACAGCTGAGGGAGGAGGATACCATTGATCACCATCTTCTTCATCGCCACTGGGATGGAGGAGTGTGCCAGGAACGGGGCCAAGTGGCTGAGCGTTTTGGCCCCGGTGACTGCCCTGGCTTCTGCCATGGTAGCTGTGGATACCTCTGTGTCGATGGTGAGTCCCAGGTATGTATACTGATCCACAACTGGAATAACACTCCCTTGTGTACGCCAGACTGAATCTTTGGCTTTGCTGTGTGCAGGCTGATCGTGCAAGACCATGAGTCCGCATTTGTCGTGGCCAATCTTCATGTGCCAGGACGTCGCCCACTCCCCAAAGGCTGCCAGATTATCCCTCATCTCCGTGTCTGTATTGGCAAGAATCCATGACATAGTTGAACAGCAGGGGAGACAAGCTGTCCCCCCTGCCGCACCCCGCGTTCTAGTGGGGCCAGGTCTGAGGTTGTGGGACCCACTAGAACGCGGAAGGTACCGTTGGTATACAGGCGTTGAATGAAAGACCAGCACTTACCTGAGACTCCTTTGGCTCTGAGGATGTGAAGCATGCCATTGTGTGGGACCATGTCAAAGGCTTTCTGGAGGTCCATGAAGGCGACATATGTCGGCTTCGCTTCTGCACCCCGTCTACCTGCAATTTCTATGAGGGTGGCGGCCTGTGCGTTGCACTCTTCCCGCAGGCGGAAGCCTGCTTGCTCCTTGCGCAGGCCTCCCGTGCCTGGGACTGCATGTTGTTGGAATCTGTTCGCGACAATTTTCGTGACCAACTTGAGCACGCAGGAGATTAAGCTGATACCTCTCCTGTTGCTCAAGTAGGTGAAATCCTTGTTTGGCTTGGGCAGGGAGACGACGAGACTGGTATTCAGGGCATCAGAGATGTTGCCCGAGAATACCGAGTTGCACGTCCGCAGCAAAACCGTGCCCATCGCCGATTCTGGGGAGCTGGAGGTCAAATCTACACGACACAAGCGAAGGAATTCGTTAGGGAGACCATCCATGCCAGGACACTTACTGGTTTTGAGCTGGTGCAGGACACCATTCAATTCCTCCCATGTAATGTCTTCATTCAAGGCTTCAATCGGCGGCTGCTGTTCCATGGGCTGGTGGTCGGCCCACCATTGTAGCGATTGACTGTCTGGATCCGTGGCGAGCTGGCTATAATGGCATCGTGTGGCTGTCACGATGTCCTCTAGATCTTGGAGCATGTTGCCCTCCATGTCTCTGGTGGGAGGGACGGCTGGCAGTGAAGTTTGCTTCTTCGCAGACATGCTTTTAATCCAGCGCCACACTTTGGAGTAGTTGCCTTCGCGGAGTGGCCTGAGACCGCGCTCGATGTGCTTTGACCAGCCCTTTCTATTATCTTTCATTCGAAGGTGCTTGGCGCGCTGCCTGGCTTCGCGAGCCCTGCACAAGCATTCCTCCGAGATGTCTTCTCCTCGCTGCTGGCTTCGTCTGATGGCTTGCGTCAAAGCACTGCTCTGTCTGATGGCGGTCTTGGTGGCGCTGGAGTGGGTATGGTGGAGGCGCTTCTGGTGGTGACCTTGGGCGACTGTGACATAGCAGGCATTGTCAGACAGCACTTCCTGGCTGAGCTGGATGAAGGCGTCTGTATTGAACTCTACGTCACCCAAGGCTGCAAGGGCCGCCCATCTGTTATCGTCCAAGATAGGGCGTCGACAGGTAAGCATTGTCTTCACATCCACGCGACGCCTCGCTGGTCTGGCTACAGGACGGTGCTGGACCGTGTGCTGCAGGGGCAGGACAAGGGGCACGTGATCAGACGTATCGTACTCAGGTTTCGTCAACACCTCTTGGGCAACAAATGGACGGGCACTGGCAGAGACCACGAAGAAGTCGATGGTGGAGGGGCTGAAACAAGTACCTGCAGGAAAACGAGTAAACTGGGAGTTATGGATGACTTCAAATGGTCCGTGGAGCTGAGTAGACAACTCCTCGAATGTCATGTTGAAGTCACCCCCTGCAATAATAGGAATAGTAGGATACTTAGTAGCATATGTGTTCAGCAGATCGAGAAACTCAGTCCAACACGCTGTGCGACGAAGGGCTGTTCTCTGCGATACCACTGGGAGGTACAGGTTCACGAAAATACAGTCAGTGTGTTGTAACAGTCCCGTGATCCGAATGGGTAATATGTTAGGATTAGCACACGGCAGCTCTACCACGGGCAATTCTTTATTGTACAAGATGCAGATGCCTCTTGCACCAGGAACGTCCCGGGTCATCGAGCGATGCACTGTATGATATCCACGCATATCCAGGGGGAAGGTATGGGCTTGGATCTGATGTTCTTGAATGGCGAGGATCTGCGGGCGCTGTTTTGCTAAGAGTTGGTCTATAGTGGCACGGTTGCCGTTGGCCGTTCTAATATTCCAACTAATTATACGTGGCAGGACATGTTTCTTCTGCAGGACGGGGTGCACGTCAGTAGAGGAACGGGATCGTACCTGACGTGCGTTTGCCCTCACACGGTACCCTCGGTGCGGTCTAATACACCAGCCATAGTGCCACAGCAGATCGTCTCGGTGTCGCCAATGTGTCGTGCTATCCTCGGATTGCTCCCTGGGGTAAAGGAGGTCCAGCCATGCTTTGAGGTCATGGCTGGGCTCGCCATCCCTGTTGGTACGACAATACACGCTTCCCAAGGGGAATTGTGTACGTCCAGGGAGCGACTCCTTGTGTGGAGCACTGGTGGTAATAACGAACATGACCGTTGGGCGGATCTCCGACGAGATCTGCCGTGATCGAGAGCGGTTGGGGCGTCCAATCCTGATCCGCTCAATATGTTCGATACGCACGAGTGAGTCCACCGGGAGCATATCCTGGAATATTTGGTATACCGTAGCAACCGTGGTTGCTGGTATACCCCACACAGCCCATGTGGCTAACTGTCGAGATCCGCGGGATGGTTCGACGATTAGACCCGAGGTGCCGTGTGGAAGAAGTTGCTCTGCCATGTTTAATTAGTCTAGAAACAGGTTTCTAAGGCTAAAAAACACGGGAGTGCGAGCACGACAGTGTAAAAAATTTTTTTTTTTTTTTTTTGAGCCGTGTTTTCTGCACGCCAAGGCCCTGGAACAGCGGATCCGACCGCCCCTTGGTGTGCTGAAGAAGCAAGAGAGTGAGAAAATCTGGGCCGACACAAAGTTGCTGCTTGCGTGGGCGGCCT